GTCTCTTCTTATGTTCTTTATTTTGAAGTCTGTGTTGTTAGAAATAAGTATTGCTACCCCATCTTTTTGGTTTGTTTGTTTTGTTTCAATTTCTCATGGAATATTTGTATCCATCCCTTCACTTTCAGCCTGTGTGAATCCTTTGCTCTGAGGTGGGTCTCTCGTAGACAGCATATATATGGGTCATATTTCTTATCCACTCAGCTACCCTATGACTTTTGATTGGTGTATTTATTCCATTTATATTTAAGGTTTTTATTGATATCTATTTATTTCACTCCATTTTTCCCCTTTATGCCTATGTACCTTTCTGTCAATATATTTTTCTTCTTAGAGCAGTCCTTTTAGCATTTTTTGCAGTGCTGGGTTGGTGGTACTGAGCTCCTTTATCCTTCTTTAGTCTGGGAAGCTCTTTATTTCCCCTTCCATTTTAAATGAGAGCCTTGCTGTATAGAGCAGTCTTGGTTTCAGGTTCTTGCTTTTCATTACTTTGAAAACTTCATGCTAATCCCTTCTGGCCTGAGGTGATTCTGTTGAGAAATCTTCTGACAACCTTATAGGCATCTCTTGTTGGTCACTGATTGTCTCTCCTGGAGCCCTTAATATTCTCTTTGTCCTTAACATTTGGCATTTTGATTGTGGTGTGTCTTGGAGTGGGTCTCTTTGGGTTCCTCTTGTTTGGTGCCCTCTGTGCTTTCTGAACTTGGTAGGCTTTCTCCTTCGCCAGCTTAGAAAAGTTTTCTGCCGTTATTTCTTCCAACAGGTTCTCTCTCCCTTGCCTCCTTCCCTCCCCCTCTGGCACCCCTATTGTGCACATTTTGTTTTGTTTCATGTTGTCCCTCAGTTCCCTTAAACTGTCCTCATGCTTTTTTAGTATTTTCCTGCTTGCTGCTCTGGTTGAGTTGTTTTCCTACCTTATCTTCTAATTCACTTATTCAGTCCTCTGCTTCATTGAGCCTGCTTTTAATTCCTTCCAGGGTATTCTTGATGTTAGATATAGTATTCTTCATTTCTGCCTGGTTCTTACTCCTAATATCTATGTTTTTTCATGCTGATGTAGCTTTTGCTAAGTTCTTTGTATTTCCCACTAAGTTCCTGGACGTTTCCATTAAGTGTCTTGTGGCTCTCACTAATTTCCTTGAACATGTTTATAACCATTTCTCTGAACTCTTATTTCTGATAACTTGCTTACCTCCATCTCATCAAGGTCTTTTTCTGGCAGTGTTTGGTTTTCTTTCGTTTGGGCGATCTTTCTTTGTCTCCCTATTTTAGTTGTCTCTTTGAGGTTGTATCGGTGATTTACATATATTTGCTGTCTCCCCGTCTTGTGGTGTGGGCTTTTGTAGTGAATATCCAATGGGACCCAGAGGTGTGTTTCTCTTATATTTCTGAGCAGTATACTCTAGGTGTGCCCCTTTGTTTGTTCTTTGGGCTGTCCTCTTGTGGTTGGGTCTAGATTGTTGTTGACCTGTTCGTAGGAGGACTCTCCTCCTGTCAGGCTTCCTCACTGTGAGGCTCAGCCACTACCATGTCATGTGACCTGTTCTATAGGTGCTGACGGGTTAATAAAACACAACCACACTGACACGCAACACACAAGAACTTATAACATAACCCACAATCACAATGAAAACAACCCAAGAGAAAGGAGATTTAGGAAAGCAAAGAGAAAACACAAATGCTAAAGGAAAAAAGAAAGAGAGAAATGGATACTATTGCTAACAGTAAAAGAATAAAAAATAAAGAAGCTACTGGGAGATAAAGGGGGAAGAGAAAAATATTGTGAAATGAAAGAAGGGATAGCAAAAAATAAGGTTAGATAGTAGGAATAGATAAATGGTTTTGAAAAGACAGGAAGACGTAGAAATAAAGGGGGAAAATGTTATGCAAAGGGAACAAGGAGAGAGAGAAGGGTCAAGCAAGGGCACAGAAGGAGGCTAATAAGAGATATGGAAGAAAAATTAGAGAAAAGCAATAAACTTAATAATTACAGTAGCAATATCCAAGCAATAAAGCAAGTATATCAAGGAAATCTTGAAAAGAACATAACAAAAACAACAAAAAATCAAAGCAGTACAAAATACATCCAATAATAACAGTAATGATGATGATAATAATGGTAATTGTTTTTTAAAAGCCAGGCAAGTGAATTTTGTCTGGGCAGCTTATTTTATCTGAGGCTCACTATTGTAATCTGATTTGGGGCCTCCTGGGAGGTACTTTAGTGCAGCCAATGTCAGGAGCTGTGTAGGTTTGTCTCCTGGTTTCTTTATGTAGCTGGTTGTTCTAAGGCTTTCTATGGACCACCTCTACCTGTCATGTACTTTGCCTCCCCCTTCTGGTTGCCTGGTCTTACTCCAGCATCTTCTGAAGACAGTCTTTAGGGTGCAGGCCAGTTTGTGTACCTTTCGCTATTGGGCCTCTTACTAAGAGATTTCAGTGTCTGACACTCACTACGAGGAAATGAATCTCTGCTTCAAAGCCAACTCCTCAGTCTCTACCATATTCTCCACCTCTAGTTACCCCTAAAGTAACCTGGTGAATGTTCAGATTGAATTAAGCCTGTTGCCTTTTCTGTATGGACAGTTTTAGGTGGCCTTGGCTCCGTGGGATTGATCAAAAGAGACTCTCATGAGCACGTTACCTGCCCAGCCCCCAGACAGGGTTTTAAGCATTTCTTCTGGTTCCCAAACAAAACTCCCTGAGAGTCGTAGTCTTGAAATGTCTTTCTGTGAGCTGTTGTCCCTTCCCCCATCAAACTGTGCCCAGCCGGGGGTATCAGGGGCTTCAGTGAGGTGGACCAGCCCCTCCTCTGGTGGAGGTGGTGCTCCTAGCTTAAAGTATAGGTAGGCATGTTCCACCCCTCCTTTCCCAGATCTGGTTGGCTGAACAATGCAAACACAAAACCGGGCTTTTGCTGGTTTGCCTCAGCAATATTAGACAGGAAGGTGGATGCCTTGGGGTGCCACCAATAATAAAAATATATAAACTAACAAACAGGCAGAAAACCTGCTTTTTAAGGATGTGGCACCCTTGCACCTCATGTCTAAGCAGGAGGGGTTACAAAGTTAGCTCCATGCAGGTCTCCCACATCTGATCTCAGTAAAGCTGGGACCATGATTCCCAGATCTGCTCACTATCCAGGCCCTTTCAGAGCAGGTCAAAAATCCCCACTCTGCCTCGCAGGGATCTCCAGTCTCTCTCTGGTGGGGAGAAGTCTCACTTCCTTTTCCCTGCACCACACAGTTAAAATGATTTCTGGAGCTCTATACAATGCTTTACAGGAAAGAAGAGGGTCCCTTTAGTTCACTGCTGGGGGCAGCCCACAGGCCCCATTCTATTCTGAAGCCACACACTGCAGGACAGCCTTTGCTGGAGTCAGCACCAGGAGTGAATATGTCCTGCCAAAGCTGCTGCCATTAGGCGTGTTCTTTCACTGGGAAGGGTCAGACCCCACCTCAAAGGCAGACAGCTCTCCTGGCTCTCTCTGCCCGATGTACACTGCTTCGCTTGACTGCTGAGGGTTTGAGATCCCTGCTTTTGATGCCAGTCTGAAACTGGACACAATGGGTCTGAGCTGCCTGTCACCACTTGGGCCAATTAAGCAGAGACAGGGTTGAATCATATATAAGTGTTTATTCCAATACTGTTGGCAGTATGGGAGAGAGTAGCAGGATTTGTCCACATAAAATCTGTTCTACTCTCCCTTACTAGCTGGCTGATTATATTGGGATAAAGAAGAAAGACTGCATGCAAGGGGGGAAGGGGTGGGTGGATGGCTACATAGTCTGTAGTTTGTTTCTCCTGTCAGGATCTTGAAGTAAAAAAAAAAAAAAAGTAATTCATTTTCAATGGGGTTAAAAACCAGCTCCACCATTTCCTAGAACCTGAGAATGGTCAGCATTACAGAGGCAAATTCCCAGAGGTATCAGGCTCCAGGCACAGCAACCAAATCAAAGTGCATCCTGTCCTTTGTTCTCAAAGTACATTTTCTTTTGTGAGCAATGGACCCACCCAGGTTCCATTGTGTCTCTTATCTTCTTACACCTCTGTTTTTCTTCATGCAGCACATCCTCCATTTTCCCAGGTTTTGAATTAAAACTTCTGATCTATAGTTAGTATGGTGAATAATCATTAAACAACTATGGTCCTATTCCTATTAGGTGCCTTCCCTCCTTTCACAACCACTGTCAACAGAGCCTAATCAAGATCTATGCCCCCAGCAAGTCCACACTGCCAAGGGGAGGGAGCTTTGTATCCTTTAACCCTCAGGCCTCCCAGCCAAGCATGGTCTCTGGGTGGAAGGGGGCACTGCCCCGTTCCACACCTCCCCCTCTCTTACCAGTCTCTACAATGTTTCTTCAGTACTCCTTAGTCAAAATATATCCAATCAGCTCTATTTCCCTTGTTTTTAGAAGCTGTCTATGCAGTATTTTAGCTGTAAATCCAGGCATGGCTGCGAGCAGGGGCACTCAGCCTCTTGTTAGAGTGCCACAATTTTTGAACTACTCTAATCTTATTATTGTGAACTAGTTTAGTCCAAATTTATTTTGATCTATGAAATTCATGATGGTTGTATAATAGCGCTTACCATAGCATTCCTTGAGCACCACTGGGCACAGAGTGTAGTGGAAAAGGAGGCACATGATCCTTGATCTCTAGGAACTTGCCTTCTGTGAGGAGACTGAACCTTAAGTGAGAAGTCATCAGTTTGCCTTTCAAACTGTGGAAGAGTAATCTTATCAAGGGTTATCAAGTATTCTTAGGGGAAAGGGAATTGTGAAATGAACTCAGAAAAAATGGGAAGGATACATACCCATAAATATATTTTAAAGCCAAAAGTATTTCTGCTGCCTGTTCAATTTACTGTTGAATGAATATTCAGCTTATTCCCAAAGTAAGCAAAAGCTAATAGAATATTATTTGAAGCAAGCACAACACATAGTTTGGTAAAATCCTGGCACAATCACTTCCAGTCTTACCAACAACCTTTCCATTGATTCTGTACTCCCTGCCTGCTCTCAGGCCTTATTCTGGGGCTTGTGAAAAAGAGAAAATAATTTACTTTCATGTTCTTATTCTGTTATTCCCAGATGAATGTGAAGACCCACCGAAATTCCATTCTATGCTACCCAAGGGTAATATTACACCCCCTTATAATATTGGGGTTGAAATACACTATGAGTGTATCCCAGGATATGTGCCTAAGGATCCTCTTCTTCCGATCCGTATTGTTTGTGACAAGAATGCTACCTGGACAAATATCACGGAGGCCTGTAAACGTAAGTGCCCAAAACTTTATTTTTATTGCTCTAAAGTTTTTCACACATTTTACAGTGCATATTGCACTGTTACAATGATGGTTTTCTCAGGTGGATGTAGATTTTTAGATAGCCATGTATTTTTTCAGGCTTTGAAATTCTCCAGGTAATTTTTTATTTGGCTATTGATTCTCTGGGGTAATTTTAATCTTAAGTTTGGCCATTAGTGACAACATGGATGGACCTTATTATGCTGAGCAAAATAAGTGAGAAAGAGCTAAGAACCATTTGATTTCACTCATATGTGAGATATAACATTGAAACTCGTAGACATAGACAAGTTTGGTGGTTACCAGAGGGAAGTGTGGGTGGGGAAATGATAAATGGATCCAAATATATGTGACAGAAAATGAACTGACTTTGGGTTGTGGGTACACAATGCAAATTACAGATCATGTATCATAGAACTGTACACTTGAAACATATATAAACTTATTAGCCAATGTGAATCCAATAAACTTAGTGAAAATAAATAAGAAAAAAAAACAAACATTTCCATGAATTTAGTAGAGCAATCTATAACTTTTACTTTGATTCAAATCTCTTTTGGCATTTTATAAAAAAACAAATTGTGAGGTGGGTATGGCAAAAAGGATAAAAGAAAGTGAAGAAAATAGCCAAAGAGCATATGTGCATATCCCATGGACACAGACATCAGTGTGGTTAGGACCAGGATGGTAGGGGGGTAGGGCTGCATCTGGGTGGATGGGGTAAAAATGGATAAAATGGGGGACATCTGTAATAATGTTAACAACAATAAAATTAAACAGAAAATGGACAGAGGATATGAAAAGACATATCTCCAAGAAGACATATTTATGGCCAACAGACATTTGAAAAGATGCTCAATATCACTAATGACCAAGACAGTGAAAATCAGAACCACTATGAGATCGCACATCACACCAGTCAGGATGGCTATGTTCAAAAGTCCAACAAACAAACAGCATGTGTTGGCAAGAATGTGGAAACAATGGAAGCCTTGTGAGCTGTTGGTGGGATTGCAAATTGGTGCCTCCACTACAGGGTACTCTATGGATATTCCTTAAAAAACGAAAAATAGGTCTAGAGTACAACCCCCAAACTACAATTCTGGGTATTTATTCAATTAATTAAAAAAATACATGGACACATATGTTCCTTGCTGCATTACTTATAATACCCAGGATATGAAAGCAAAGTGAGTGTTCATAATTACATGAATGGTTAAAAAATTTATACACACAGGCACACACATGCACTGGAATATTGCGCTCATATAAAAAAGAATGAAATCTTGCCATTTGCAGAAACATACATGGCCTTAGGGTGTACTGTGCTATGTTCAATAAGTATAAAAGGGAAAAACAAATACATATGATTTCACTTATATGTGGAATCTAAATAAACACATAAAACAAAGAAACAAACAACACAAGAACAGACTCATAGAAGCAGTGAATAAAGGGATGGTTTCCAGAGGGGAGGTGGATGGGGGATGCATGAAAAAGCTGAAGGGAAATATTATGGTGATAAATGTTCACCATGACAGTTGATGGTACAATTAGTTGGATGATCTCATGGTAAGGTATAACATTTTCAAATCTATATTGTATACCTAAAACCAATACAATTGATAAAATATTATATACCAACTATACTGAAATTTTTAACGAAAGAATTGAAAAACCTAAGTAGAGGATCACTAGTAAGGAAATTTAAGCAGTAATCAAATACTTCCCCTTAAACGAAAGTTCAGACCCAGATGGCTCATTGTTTAATACTGCAACGCATTCAAAGAAGATTAAATACCAATCCTTCTCAAACTGTTCCAAAAATTCACGCGGAGGGAATACTCCCAAACTCATTTCATGAGGCCAACTTTTCCCTGATAACAAAACCAGTCACAGACACACACACAAAAGAAATACACAGGCCAATATCTTTGATGAGCATCAATGCAAAAATTGTAAACAAAATACTGGTAAATCAAATACAACTATACATTAAAAGTATCACATATCATGATCAAGTGAGGTTCATTCCTGGGATGGAAGGATGATTAAACATTCACAAATCAATCAATGTGATGCACCACATTAACAAAACAAGAGATGAAAATCACATGATCACTTCAAGATGCAGAAAAGGCATTTGACAAGATACAACAGCTACTTATGACTAAAACACAATAAATTAGGTAGAGAAGAAAGTATCTCAACATTATAAAGGCATGCTGTGATACTCAGCTAATGTCATAGTCAATGGAAAGATATTTCATTAGCTAGTTAATGGATTAGAAGATTTAGCATTGTTAAAATGGCCATATATGTAAAGCAGTATACTGAAAGCTTTTCCTGTAAAATCAGGAACAAGACAAGGATGCCCGCTCTCACTACTATTATTCAACAGATTCCTGGAATTCCTAGCCAGAGAAAATAGGCAAGAAAATGAACTAAGAGGCATCTAAATTAGATGGAAGAAGGGAAGCTGTCACTATTTGCATATGACAAAATTCTCTATATAGTAAACCCTAAAGACTCCACCAAAAGAATTTTAAAGAAAATGAACAAATACAGTTAGTTGCAGGATACAATATCAGTGTACAAAAATCCATTGTGTTCTTAAATATAGTTTTAAATTTAATATGTTGTTGTTTTTTAAAAATATGTCTTCACTGATTTCAGAGAGAGGAAGAGAGAGAGAGAGAGAAACATAAATGATGAGAGAGTCATTGATCGGCTGCCTTCTGCACACCCCCAACTGGGGATCAACTACTCAACCCAGGCATGTGCCCTGACCAGGAATCAAACTGCAATCTCCTGGATCCTAGGTTAATGCTCAACTGCTGAGCCACACCCTGCTGGGCTGTTCTTACATATTAACAACAAAATATCAGAAAGAGAAATAAAGAAAAGTATCCTATTTACATTGGAACAATCAGAATAAAATACAAAGGAATCAACAAAGGATGTGAAGGAACTTTATACGGAAAAGTGCATTGCTGAAAGAAATTTAAGAAGACCAATAAATGGAAAGATATTTCATGTTAATGGATTAGATGATTTAGCATTTTTAAAGTGGGCATATATGTGAAACAATATTCAAATTTAATGCAATCCCCATCAAAATCCGAATGGCATTTTTCAAAGAAATAAATTTTATATAATTTTATGGACCTACAAAAGACTCTGAATGGCCAAAGCAATCCTGAGAAAAAAGAACAAAGCTAAAGATATTATAACAGTGAATAAGAACTTTATAGTACACTGACTAACCATGAAATGGAATTAGAATAAAATGTACTGATAAACTGATAAAAGGAATTCACATAATATCAGTTTCCTTATGAGTATTACAGGCATTAGCAGTCCCAGTTTCTGCTTGTAGAAGATTCGGCCTTGGCCAAGACTTCATGGCTGATGCAAGGTTGCCCAACTGCAGGAATTTAGCTAGCACTGACCAGATCCAGTATGCTGACATCAAAGATCCATATGACCCTGTCGGGTGTGGCTCAGTTCGTTGGGCACTCTCCCATGTACCAAAGGGTTGCCTGTTCTATTCTGGAGATGGCACATGCCAGGATTGCAAGCTTGATGCCTGGAAGGGGAAATGCTGCAGGCAGCCGTTCAATGTTTCACTCTCCCATCCATGTTTCTCTCTTTCCCTCTCCCTTCCTCTTTCTCTAAAATTCAAGAAAAAAAGTTTTTTTTAAATGATCCCTTCTGGCAACAGCAAGGACTGCTTGGAGGCAGGTTCACAGTCCCTCCTCCTGATCTCTTTGTTCTGCTTTCCCTCAATGAACATCAATTATGTCCCTCTCCCTCCCTATAAAAACCCCTGTCTGCACTGAAATGTCAAGATGGCTTTAAGATGAGTCCCCCATCTTCTCAGGTAGGTACTGGCACTTAAATAAACCCATTCTCTTTTTACCAGCATCTGTCTTATGAGTTTGGTGTCTGTGGCAGCAGGTGTCTGTCTCATGAGTTTGGTTTCTGTGGAAACTTGGTTCCAGTTTCAGTATTACACCTCCTGACTTCAAACTATGCTACAAAGCTACAATAAAAGTGTGGCATTGGCAGGAAAACAGTCTCACAGCTAATTGGACAGAACTGAGAGCACAGAAATAATCACACACATAATGAACAACTAATTTTTGACAACAGAGCCAAAAAGAGACAATGACACAAGAAAAGTCTCCTCAATAAATGGTACTGGGAGAACTGGAAAGCCGCATGCAAAAGAAAAAACTTAGACTTCTATGTGATACCATAAACAAAAATTAACTCAAAATGGATTAAAGACTTGAATATAAAACCTGTAACAATAAAATACATAGGAGAATATATAATTATTAAACTTATACACTGTGGTCTCAGCGGGGTTTCTGTGAACTTGACCCCCAAGGCACAGGAACTGAAAAAAGAAATAAATAAATGGCACTACATCAAATTTAAAAGCTTCTGCACAGCAAAAGAAACTGTCAAAAGAACAAAAAGGCAACTGCCCTGGCCAACATTGCTCAATGGTTAGAGCATCATCCCTCACACTGTAGGGTTGTGGATTTGATTCCCAGTCAAGGGCAGGTACCTGTGTTGCAGTTTCAGTCTCTGGCCCCAGTTCAGACATATGCAGGAGGCAACCAATAGATGTGTCTCTCCGACATTGATGTTTCTCTCTCTCCCTCCCTCCCACCTTCCATCCTTCCCACTCTCTCTAAAAATGAACGGGCAAAATATCCTCCAAAACGGATTAACAAGACAACAAAAAAGGCAATCAACTGAATGGGAATAAGTATTTGCAGAGGATACCTCTGATAAGGGCCTAATTTCCAAAATATATAGAGAACTCTTACAGCTCAACAACAGCAATAAAATGTGATTAGAATATGGGCAGAAGACCTGAATAGACAGTCACCCAAAGAAGACATACAGATGGCCTTCCAATGTATTAAAAGATTCTCAACATCACTAGTTATTAGG